TAGCCTTCCTTACCTTCACCGACAGAGTGAACGTAATCTTTAGCACATTAAAGAGTTCGGGAAGAAGATTAACCACCATCAGTTACATCAGCTGGTATTCATAGCGGAAGCAATATGCTGCGCTTTAATTTTCATCGGCTTGACCTATCGGCGAGTCACTCAGGCCCGAAAAACCGCGGCCCAGCTAAAGGAGATGATTGCCCAAATAGGGTCGGCCGAGGGCGTCCTCATTCTTGAAGGGGGAGTATCTGAGTTATCTGAAGTTAACCGAGCAGCGGCAATGTCCGACTATTTAAGAGTTCGCTCTGGCCAAACTGCTGCATAGCGTCTGGCCAGATGCCCATGCATAGCGGCAAGCACTGCACATTTGCGTGGCCGCTATGAAATACTTTTTATTAGCTTTAAGTTTCAGTTTGTGTCAGAGACTCATCGAATAAAGAGCACTATTAAAACCAATCTCCGGCACAGCCGTTAAACAGTAAATTAATTTTGTTAAATTGGTCACCGCGCCTCAAGAGCCGTGACAACGGGGCAAGTGCTCCCATCGTAACTCCTGTCGTAAAGAGGATTTCCCTCGGCAACTGCCAGGGATACAAACGAAGCTCGCCAGCTGCAAGGAAAGGCAAACCCCCTCCCGGCAACCGCCAGGGATAATCAACCCAACATATCTCCAACGTCTGAGCCATCACTGACTGCAGCGAGGGATAATCAACTAAAACACATTAACACACAAACCCATTTATATTGACTTGTATGTACTAGGTACCTGTGCCTTTTGGGTTTACTGCCTATATGGCACCAAGTCAAGACGGTTAGTTAGTTAGAAAGAAAAGGAAAAAAAGGATTTTATTTTCCTTCAGTTCTTTTTTATTCGTACAAGTCTTAAATTACAATTACAAAAACTTACAATTTTAATTAAATAATAAAATTAAAAATAATATGTACGTGTCTTAAAAAATGTTAAAAAATGCAAACAAATCGCAAAAGATATTCTTATTCTTACACAATGAAAGCAGCCCACCGATCAATGCGTAGACAACAGAGTGCTTTTTAAAACATTCGGGTATTTGGCAAAATACCCGAGACTTTGATGTGTGTTTTTTATACCCATGTTCTATTTCAACGATAATTTTTTTTACTTATTCTCTCATTCCACTTGTATGGTCATTGAGGGTTTTCAATGCCATAAATCGGCTCCAAAATAAAAGGCCAAATTTAAGTATTGCACGTTTTAATTTATATTTGCTACAGGTAGATGAAACTGGGATCAATAATTGTGATCCTCCAGTGTATGGTGCTAAGCAGTGACTAATCACATGGACAGAGAGTGCGGCCCGACTAGACATGCGCGAAACTAAAGCTCTCGATTGCGGAGAGGGCGCCCCGACATAGTGATTGCGAAGCTAAAGCTCTCTTAAAATAAGCCCGTTGAAGTCGAGTGGCCGACTAAGGCGATATGTCCATTCTTTAGCTTAATAAATAAACTATAAAACTTCCTGAACTGACACCACTCTTTTTGAGGGTGGCCAGTATGATCTGCACTAGCGACCGAAAAATACCTGGGTGTTTTGCGTCTTAAGACACACAGGCTTAAAATCACGAGTGTGGGTCGGTATTGCCTTTTTTCTTGTGAGCCTTTTGGAGAGTGGTACTCGCACACATTTTCATGGGTATGCACAGGGTATGGAAAAGTGTCACCTAGAAGTTAAGTGTTTAAACTATGCTACTACATTTATGTATGCTGATGATGTCAAGTTATGTTTTTTTTTCAGACCATTTTCTTCATAGACACCTGCAATTAGACCTCAACGAAGTCTTCTTGTGGTGTTCAAACAATCTCCTTTTACTTAACTGCTCAAAGTGTAAGGTTATGACGTTCAATCACAGTGTGCCTCACATTGTCTCGTACTCACTTGGGAATAACGTCTTAGATCGTGTTTCCCTTATTAATGATCTTGGAATTCTTTTTGACAATAAGTTGTTGTTCAATGAACATATATCATTGACAGTCAATAAAGCCAGAGGTGTGCTAGCTTTTTTCAAACGTTGGTCAAAAGAATTTGATGATCCCTTCACAACTAAAACTCTATATGTATCTTTGGTTCATCCTGTCTTGGAATACTGTTCGTGCGTTTGGAGTCCGCAATACTTGGTTCATCAAAGAAGGATTGAATCTGTCCAAAAGCAGTTTCTGTTATTTGAATTAAAAAGTTTAGACTGGGATACTGTCACTTGCCTTCCGTCGTATTGTTACCGGTTAAAACTATTAAACCTACCTCCATTAAGGGGACCCTCCCCATTCTCGATTTTAAATTTTGACGATTTTCAATGGGCTGGCAAATGAACATAAATTTTTTTTTAGGGTTGTAACTGTGCTTACATATATTAAGACACAAAAAGGAAGAAAATCATTTCACAGAATTTTTTTTTGTTTTGTTTTTGTTGTTGTTTTTTGTGATCCAAGAAAAGCCCTTCTTTTCGGCGGCGCATGTGATTTCCGCTCACTGGAACATCTGAATCCAAAAATTCTAACGGGATTAGAAAAAGTACATGTTTGGCTCTCGTATGAACTAGGATTATTAACTTCGCTCAAAAATTAACAAAATGGCGGACATTTGAAATTTTTTTTTGAAAATTTCCATTTTTTTCAGCCACAAATCGAGTTGAAAAGTAAAGAAGATCTTCACCGATTTGATTTATCCTAGTTCATACGAGAGCTATATATGTATAGAATAACGTGTTCAAATTTGGAACCGATTGGATTAATAGTTTTTGAGTAACCTCATGCGCCAGTCGTAAAAACACTGTTTCGAGAAAAACGCGTTTAAAGTTTTGAGACGGCTTTCGCCGTCGCCTGAGGCTTCCACCATAAATCGGCTATATCTTCAAGAGTTTTTGAAATTTTTACTTGAAATGTTCAGGGAACATTCTTGAATAGTTACAAGTTCGAATTAAATTTATAAAAAAAATCGATTTTTTAAAACCGAGAATGGGGGGGGTCCCCTTAAAAGAGCGCCGTACTTGTGCTGGGGTTATGATACTTCATGTGCTTATTCTTGGAGAGGTGGGCTCAAAATTGCTTCTTGACAAATTATTGTTTTCCGTACCTAATAGATTAACTAGATACTTCCGACCCCTTTGGTTACCAATCTCTGGGTCTAATTTTGCTGAACACGATCCATTTCGCGTTATTTCTAAAAATTACAATTCATTGTCCCATTTATTATCCCCGGACCTATACCTAGATGTAATTAAATAAAAAACAAGAAAGGAAAGCTAACTTCGGGCGGAGCCGAAGTTGATATACCCTTGCAGTTAAAACCGGGTATATATCGCAAACATCGGATATAGTTGGACGATCCTTATGATTACATCATAATAAAACCAATTAACTAAAATAAAAAATCTAAAAAAATGTCCCAAGCTTCTATCTTCAAAAATACAAAAGTTAATATTTCTACCAAATACCATTTCCGATCGTTCAGTTATATAGCAGCTATAGGATATAGTCGGCCGATCCTAATGAAATTCGGTAGGATGGATCAACTGGCCAAAAATAGAAGTATTAAGTTTCAGCTTTCTATCTTCAAAAATACGAAAGTTGGGTCATTTTCGATCGTTCAGTTATATGGCAGCTACAAGATATAGTCGACCGATCCTCATGAAATTTGGCATGTCGTAATGTTTTGCCAAAAATAGCTTGTAAAATTTGAACTCTCTAACTCTAAAAACACCAAAGTTATACCATTTCCGATCAATCAGTTATATGGCAGCTATAGGATATAGTCGGCCGATCCGGGCCGATCCGGGCCGTTCCGACTTATATACTGCGTGCAAAGGAAAGAAGGGTGTGTGCAAAGTTTCAAGACGATAGCTTCAAAACTGAGAGACTAGTTTGCGTAGAAACAGACAGACAGACGGACAGACGGACATGCTCATATCAACTCAGGAGGTGATCCTGATCAAGAATATATATACTTTATAGAGTCGGAGATGTCTCCTACACTGCGTTGCACACTTTTGGACAAAATTATAATACCCTCTGCAAGGGTATAATTATGGAATCTCTTTTAGCTTAAGGATGTAGTCTCATGTGTGAGGTTGAAAAAATCTATTTTTTTTTTTCACATATTTCGAATATACTATTTATTAAGAATGTACTGTTAAAGTTTCAAATAAAAATATCAAATAATGACAGAGATACAGCCCATAATCGAGAGCGCACCTACACCGAAAAGTATGAGTTTCTCGGTAGCGTCTAAACTTTAAACGCGTTTTTCTCGGAACGACATTTTTGTGTGCGGCGCAGGTGGTTCACTAAATTCTATGGTACCGATCTAGCTGAAATTTGGATATGTTGTTCTAAAAAGTAACACCTCTGTCCCGTACTAGAATCATTTATTTTTAATGATTAGTTTTTTTTTTATCATTAATTTAAGACAAATTTTTTAAATTTAAAAAAAATTTTTTTTTGTGTGTTCGCCATTTTTTTGTTTATTGATGAAAATATTTCATTCTAGTCCGGGACAGCGCCATAAGCTTACAAAACAATATTCTCTTCTAATTTTTTGTTTCGGATGACTCTAGCAGTCAAAATCACCTGCGCCAGGGACCTACCTTTTTTTTTTATATGCATACTTTGGCATGCTATAAAGTGTATTAAACTACACAATAATAAATTAAACAAAATATTTTCGATTAGTTTATGATGCCTATAAAAACATATTTGAAAATTTAAACGATCGCATTATTTTTTATTACAGAAAAATTTTTTTGAAATAACGTCCAAAAAGTAGGCCGGAACATGAGACTACATCCTTAATTATCCTAACTTTTAGTTATAATAATATAGATTCTAGAATAACAGATCATTGTTAATGAATAAATGTATGTATTTTGTCAGTTAAGTTCGCAATAAAAAATACTTTTGCAGCATGGATAGACAAAAGCTTTGATATAAAATCTTTATAACATTTAAGGGCATATTTTTTCTTTTATAGGTTGTCAATTCCACAAAGTAATGAGAGAACTATGCCTTTGCTTCCAAAAGATACGGTATTAGCTGACTTGCTACGACAAACCGATTTGGTTTATAAATATCATGAGCATGACAGTCTTTTAGAAAATAAAGTCGAGCAAGAATTAAGTGAACAAGAAAAGGCAGATGCATGGGATACGTATGAAAAAGAACTCCAAATAAACTATGGTAATTTAAAAATTCTCGCTAATTTAATATGGTAATATGGACTTATTTTCTTATTCTTATATTCTTAATTGTTAATTTCAGTCCAAAAAGAACATATGGAAGCAGAAAAGTAAGTAGCGCATTCTAGACTAAAAATAAAAACTTTACTTTTAATTTTGTAGAATTAATTTCAGTCAAACACTGCCGCTACAATCATACTTGGGAGCATTGAAAAATGTGGATGTAAGTAAATATATATGTTAATTAAAAAATAACTCCAATAATAATTAAAGATAATCAAATACAGCATATAGAAATTTCAATTTTAGAACGATATTTAGATTTGGAATTTCCGATTGTTTATTTATTTTGATTTTTTACACAGACATTTCTGTGTTACACAGAAACAGACAGAAATTTTGAATTTTCGGCGTTAAAAGAGGGTAAGACCCTCTCGACAGCAAACAACGGAAAATAAACTGAAAATTATTGATTGAAAATGAAAAAATATTTCCCCCACTTGTTGGGGTTTTTTGGTACATTTTCTTTCGCTCCAGCAACGTACAACATTTTTTTAGGTCCTAAAGCTTTGTAATAAATGCAGGAATGCTAGCTGGTGAACTAATTGGTGCATTGAATTGAGTGATATTTTTGAGCGAAAAAAAATAAAATTCAAAAGTTATGATTATTCATGACTTTAATTTTTCGATCATAGAATAATGATTATTGTGTGATTTTTATTTTTATATCAGAGAATAATGATTATTTTGTGATTTTTAAAATAAAAATCATAACTCATAAATTGCGGGCTTAGTTATTGATGGCAAAAATTGTCCTTTTTCGAGCATTTTCCATGACTGTGTCACTGAAATTATGGAGCAAAAATATGCTTATGTGCTTTCTATCGAGAATGCAGTCTCTAGTTTTACTCTCTGTATAGGCTGCAAGTAGCTTGTAATCCTTGGTTCCCAGTCTAGAGACCCTTCCTCCTACTTGGATTTCCAGAACCGGGTTTCCGGACTAGGACGATGTCCACTCCATCCTCAGCCAAATAAAGCAAGAGAGTAGCCGAGGTTGTCTTACAGTAAAAGAGCCTTATCTGCATAATCCGCAAGGACATCTGGTAAATTTCTCCACCACTGTAACTTCCCCCTCTTCGTCGTCGGTGATGTCATCGTCCAGCCGACTAACTGCCATGCAGCGCAGCATCAGGCATCTGTTGTATGTGCGTCTTCGGCATCTGAAGCTTCAATCTCAAAGGCCAGTTCCTCAGTGATTTTGGCTGCTGATGCATCGCCTCCTGATTCAGATTTATACACCTTGACGATAATCGAACTGAAACCGAAGTTTAACTCCCCGTGAGCGGCCTTTACGGGAGCTAGCTAGGAGAATATAACTGGAGACACACACACTCATTTTTTTTTTTTAAATGTAATTTGTAACTCTTAGTTTAAATAGTTTTCATAATAATAGAATACTAGGAATTATTTTTCCGCTTCATTATATTCTACGAAGAAATAACTTATTTAAAAAAAAAACAACCGACGTGTATATACTAGGGGCCGTTTAAATACTTTAGTGGCGTTATATATCTTTTCCATTTAAGATTAGTCCATTTTAAGCTTAGAATCCACCTAAATTTTCCCTTTAAATTTAACAAAGTTTTACTTTTATTTGTTTTTTATATTTTGGTAAAGTAGTAGTCTAAGAAAAGTGGTGAAGCAAGTGAGGAGATCGGAGTGGAGAAAAATGACTCATAAATAAATGAACAATTTCAACCCTACCAAACAAACCTTAAAAATTGTTAAAGTATATAAATGAATGACATTTATTGAAATGAACTTTGGCTAGTAGCTTTGTTTTGAAAGTATCCAGTGCAGAACTATGCTCAACTATGACATTACCCCTATGAAAGGCATTTGTCGCAACACCTTCAGTTGCTATATTTTACCAATTGCCCTTAAATTTAAGTTAAACAAATGTATACTTTACATTGAATTCATTCAAAGTACCATAGTAGATAAACTCTTTGTCAACACAGTGCGGATCTGGTCATCCACTTACCGTTTATGGCAAATCGGACAGCTAAAATTTAAAAAGTAATGCAAAAGTTTCAATGGCCTAACGTATCATTACGCTAATGCTAATGAACGCTAATGCAACTGAGAGAAACAACCACCAGTAATTTAACACATTAAAATATTTGGTTTTTTCCTCTGATATTTGGTCCTCTTTTGCGGATTTTCAAAATTCCTAACACTATCGTCTCCACGTGGTTAACGACTGACTTAACAGAGATTCAACAGTCGAGCTTAAACTATCGATTCCGTAACTTCCGCGTTGCCAAATGCCACGTGAACAGTTTTACTATATATCGCAACACTCCTCAACACTCCTCACTCCAGGAATTGAGAGTGAGGCGTGGTCATTCCCATTAATCATCTTACCACGTTCATCCAGCTTCAATACGAGGGAAGGCTGATAAAAAGTCGGCCTTACAAAGAAATTTTTTCTAAATTTTTTCTAAATTTTTTCTTTTTTATTTCTCAACATAATATTCTTTTAGACGTATGCACTTGGACCACCGATTCTCCAGTTTTCCAATACGTTTCATAAAATAGAATTTGTCCAGGTCCTGAAAATATGCGTTTGTTTCACAGGCAAACTTCCCTCTCTTTCTTTCAAGCGAACGGTCGTGTTTTTTTTGTGCGCACTGCGTTTTATTAAAAATATTGGTAAACCGGTGTTTTCATACTTGTGAATTAAATCTTGTGAATCTTGACAATCTTAAAGCCTAAACCGTATCGCTTCGCGAGTGCTGTGGTATATTTGGAGTCGAATTAATAATTTGCCTAAATTCTATTCCAAGCATAGCTCAGCTCTGCTTCTTCCCCGGCTTAGCTATATTTCTGCATTTCTCTTTTGCACTCTTTCAAAGCTCCCGCTTCGGCTTCTTGTTTGGCACAGTGGTTCAAGGTATTGTGTTTTTTAACTTTTTAAATATTAATTTTTGTTTTATTAAATAAAAAAAAAATAAATAAATAAATAAAATGGAATTTAAACTGGTCTGTGCCATTAAGTCTTGTAACAAGACAATTTCCACATCCCAGCCTAGCATCCATTGCTGGTTATGTGAAAACGTCGTGCACGCCAAGTGTGCCGGTTTCACTGCATCAGTTTCGGATGCCATTTCCCGTAGGTCTGGGATACATTATTGTTGTGAAAATTGTCGTGCTGTGCAAGGCGAAATGAGGTCGTTCATGAGACAGACCAAAAATGGATTTAAAGAGCTGATCACTGGTTTTCGTAAAATCAATGAACAGCTCTGTGCGCTGGACACTCAGTTTAGTGGCCTTCAGCTGCTAAATGAGTCCCCTAAGCGTAAGAAATCTGATGTTTCTGATCCGCCTCAGCCTGCTCAGCCAACATAAATGCAGCCGCTTATATCTCTGGCCACCCCAAGGGCTAGAACTGAGAAAAATTCGTCCGAATTTCTCAGGGATAATGAGCAATTGTCCGATATGTCCGCCATGGCATCCCTTCAAGTGATGCCACAGGTCCTAGGGAACGAAACCCCCATTAGAGTCACCCAAAAGGGTATTCCACAGTCCGGATCACCGGCACCGACTGATGCTGCAGTTCTCGTACCTGCGACACCAAAACCCTTACAGGTGATTCCTCCATCGAAACATATATTTGTTTCTCGGCTTGCCCCTGATACTTCAGAGATTGATATCTCGGCTTATATCAAAGCCAAAACAAAAGCCGATATAAAGGTGGAGGACATAACACGGCGCACGTCTTCTTTCAAGATTCGTGTGCCCGCGCTGATGTTCAAGACGATTTGTTCTCCCAGTTTTTGGCCAGAAAATCTTTTCGTCCAAGAACATCAGCCTAGTTCCGTGAAGAAAAAAGTTTAAAAACCAGTGGGAGGGAGACTTCCCAATATTGGAACCACTGACCAACCCTCCACCTCTTCTTTGGCTACTAACCCAAAAAACTAGTTTCCTCATTAACTCTTACCTATCAGAATACTAGGGGACTACGTAGCAAACTCCCCAAGCTATATTCTGATAGTTCTTTCTTTGCATCCCATATAATAGCATTTACAGAAACTTGGTTAAATCCGGAGATCTTTAGCTCCGAAGTTTTTCCAAGTAAGTACACCACTTTTAGACGGGATCGATCTCAGCGAAGAGGAGGTGGAGTCCTCATTTCGGTAGACTCTACTCTTGCTTCTGAAGAGGTGAAATCCCATGAGTTTGGTGACATAGAATTTATTTGCGTTAAAATCACTATGTCCGTTAAAGCTTTATACATTACATGTTCATATATACCTCCTATGTCTGAACCGCCTACATATTGGCAGCATTTGTCCGCCATTCGATACGTCTCTAATCTTATGACGGATCGTGACCAACTCGTAGCGGTGGGCGACTTTAATATCCCAGAATTAAAGTGGTCCAACGTCGATAACACACCATCTTTGTCACTTATAACTTACCATGACTTCACCGCGGGCATGTTTGACATGTCCCTAGGTCAGATCAATCATGTTAGAAATTCGCTAGGTCGGCTTTTAGACTTGTGTTTTGTATCTGATCCTGATGGTACTGCTCTCTCCAGAGCTTTTCCCCTTTCATCCCCAGAGGATCCATATCACCCCACACTGGAGGTCTCAATCGAAACCACTCCTGGTATCGATCAGATGTCTCTGAGCGTGGTAAATAAGATTCGCTGTTTCCGTAAAGCTGATTTTCAGAAACTTAATAGCCTTATTGATACATTTGACTGGTCTGATATTCTGGCGTGCACTGATCTTAATGTCACTTTAGAAAAATTTTATTTTACTTTAAATAAATTTTTTGACTCATGTGTGCCTTGGAAATATCCGTCCGCTTCAACAAATCCTCCTTGGTTTACAAGGTGCCTTACTAACTTAAAAAATAAAAAAAATAAGCTGTTACTTAAATATAAAAAAACCTGCAGTAGTGTTGATTTCTCAAGATACCTACTAGCTCGGTCGAATTTTACCGTGCATAACGCTGAATGTTATAGGAATTATATTGACCGCTGCCGGATTCAATTTACTCAGGATCCAAAGCAGTTTTATAATTTTGTAAACACTAAGCGTAAACACATATCTTTTTCACCTCTGCTTACGTTTGAAAATTCCTCTGCGACTTCGGATCAGGCCATTGCCGATCTATTCGCAGAATTTTTTCAAACAACTTATTCTCCTC